AGTATTTTTAAAAAATAATAATAACAAGGCAACAGAACATGCCTTCTGCGAAAATTGAACGGAAGTGGGATGAGCAATTTTGCAAGAAGGGAGAATTTTAGGGCCTCTTCATGAAAAGGGGTTGTTTAAAACTGAAAAAAGAGGTGGCCTATGACTTATTTTTAATTGGGTCCTAAACATGCTGTAAAGGAGTATTTTCAGAGGATTTAAGTGTTCTCAATTTCTAAATTGTTTAGAGATTAATTGATCATTTCCTTTTTTTTTTTCCTACCCCTCGGGATGATATCCAAAATCCAATTGGTTTCTGGGCACCAAACAAGGACAATAATTTTTTTATTTTTTTAAACAAATTCACAAGAGGTTAGAATAAAAAAATGCACTTATCCGTGACCTTTGGTTTCTGGGCACCAAACAAGGACAATAATTTTTTTATTTTTTTAAACAAATTCATAAGAGGTTAGAATAAAAAAATGCACTTATCCGTGACCTGCTTAGGCCTAAAAGCCAAGGGCAAACGAAGACAGTAATTGAAGAAAGAATAAACAAAGAGATGGACTTTTTGGGCCTTAAGTGGACTTTATTCATTAGATCTTTAATTAAGTAATTAATTAATGGAGAAAAATGTAACTCTCGTACCCTAATTGCTTCTTGCGGAGGACAGACTAACATTATGTCAAGCAAGAAAATGCATTCAAACTTCCAACTCAAATTTGGGAATCTTTTGTGAACTCTCTTTTTCTTTTTCTTTAATTTATTTTTCTTTTTCCTTTTCGTTTACCAGAATTCTTTGGGATAATTAAAAACAGGAAAATATTGTACAATCTTAGAGTTTTTTTTATATACATTAAAAAATTAATTATCTGGCATAATGGAAATTTAAATTCTTAATCTTAACTCTAAAATGAAAATTTTTAATTAATATATATCAATTTCACTAAACTTTTATAATTTTATTGGTATTCAATCTTAGAGTTCAACACACAATTTTAACAATTGATGAGAACAGCTTCTAAACGTGCATGGGGGACCCGGTTCCGTCCTCCCACTAGTCAGTTATCACTTTGTGAATTACAAAAAGTGGAATTCAAACGGAGATGAGCCTCCTTAATTGACTTTTTTAAAGGCAGCCCAATTTTCTTATACTCAGTCTGAAGAAATCTTGTTTTCTTGTGATGCTGCTGGGAAGAAAGTTTGTGAGATTAGAGAGAGGAAAAAAACAAATTTTTGCACGAGGTCGATCGTTTGATTTTTGAGAAGAAAAAATGGGTAAAATTCTCACATCTAAAAACCATTTCTTATATATATATATATATATATCTAAAAATTAATTATTTGATTCAACCTTAATTTTAAATCAAAAATTTTAAATAACTTCACCTTAACCACTCTTGTTGACAAAATTAAACCTTTTCTATTTAGTGAACTAACAAAGCATTTCGTGGCAATAACAGCTCCCAATAATACCGTCCATAATTTTTTTGATATCAGCTATCCTGGATGAACTTAGAAGTTAGTAAAGTGTGTCAGAGTCACATACCGGAAAAGTGAGACCTGAACCAAGGTGCCAGGCCACCACATGTGAGCCGGCTCCACCACGTACTTCCTCAGCAGCCCTGCCCAACTGTATCCCAGCACCTTCAACCATGTCGAAAATTCCAAGTCAATATATATATATATATATATTGTAAATATTTTTGTAATAAATATTTTTTTTAAATCTAGTTTTTAATACATTATAATAGCCAACATATTTGGCGAGAAAATGATCATAACCACGAAATAATAATGACAAACAAAGGTGATAAAGGTACAATAATTCTAAATATAATATCTAATACTTTTAGTAAATCATTTCATTATTTTTTTTGTCTATTTGTGTCAAGTTGGTAAGAAAATCAATATTCATTTATTTAATATCATTTAGCATGTTGTAACGTTGCCTTCTCAAAGATAAAATGTAGACTTTCTGAATAGTATCTTAAAAATTTAAAATTATATTTTAAGGATAGACTTATTATCGAACCCTAATTTATTAAGTCCACGTTATTTTTACTTATTTGACCATTTTACCGTCATTCTTTGATTTTTTTTTTTTTCTTTCTTTCGCCGTCTTTTCTGATTTTCCCATTTCATCTCCCCTACATTGTTTTTTTTCTCTTTGTTTCTCTTTCCTAGATTGCTTTTTGAGTAGTTTTCTTTATCCGACTGAATTTGTTAATGTGGTCAAATAAACCAAAAACACTTTTTTATTACTAAAATGATTACGAAAGAAAAAAACAATGAAATACAAGTTCGTTCAAGAGAAGAAAAAAAAAAGATTAGTGTACCTTTTAATTTTAAATAATAATAAATAAGATTGAAATTTGAAATTAATAACCTAATTTATCACTTCATTTAAAATATTAAAAAGTAAATTTTATATTATTTAATAATTAATTTTTTTATTTTTTTAAATTCACATATAATATTACATGCATCAATTAATAATATGTCTTATGTTTCATTATTAATATTAAATTTTCATCTCAAACTTTTACCCTCCCTAGTATTACTCTTTAATTTAACTTATATTTTGATTTTTTTATTTTGCTATTAAAATATAATATAAATATAAATAATTCAATTAGTTTTTGTATATTATATCTATGATTGTATTTTTAAATTTATTTATTTTTAATTTTAGATAAAAAAAATATTTTTTAATAAATATATAATACAATATATTAAAAAAATAGTTTCACTGTCAAAAAAAAAAAAAAAGCAATGCGAAAGAGAAAAATTAATTTAATTTTTTTTACCTGAGTAGTGACAATGAGCAACCAAGCGGCGAAGAACGAAATATTCCGCTTATAAAACGCCTTGATGATATTCACGATGCCGACGGCGTAAGCTGACCCCAATCCAAATGCGCTGCCGGCATTGGCGAAGATGGTAATCAGCACGTGCTCTTTCATGTTAAACGGACCTGGATTCAGAGAAAACTTCTTGGGTCCGAGACACGGGATTGAAATCTGGTACTGTGTTTTGGGCAGCACTGCGGCCATGAACCGGCCGATGGGGAGCGTGGCTACTTGCGCTGTGATTTGGGTTATGACGAGGGGTTCCGTTCGGTAGTAGAAGAACTGGTTGAGGAAGGAGAGGAGGGCGCAGGAGAGTAGACCCAGGAACCACATCCGGAAAGTCCATACAGGTTGGTTCGGGTCGTCGGTGTTGGATACGGTCAGCCGGACTTGCTCGATGGGTGAGACGTCGTCGTCGCCGTTAGCGAGGCGTTTTTCTGGGTCTAAGCTTCCGGCTGTCGGAGTCTGTATTTCTGGGGAGGCCATTATGGTGGAGTGAATTTCTATGGCATAGGGAAGAGAGAGCCAGTTGGATTTAGTCGGGGCGACTTCTAGGCCCTTTTATTGCATGAGACATACATATTGTTACTATTTTGATCCTCTCCATCACCGTTCATTATTTTATAGAAAATGATTTTGAAATAATTTTTTTATTATTTTTTTATAATTTCATATATCATTTTATTTATTTAAAATTTATAATATTAAATATATCTATTTATTTAATAATATATAAAAATTATATCGAAAAAAATAAAAAACTGTCAATTCTATTTCACCATCCTTGTTTTATAAGTTTGGACTATAAAACCGCTCTCGCCTTTGTTTTTTCTCTTTTCTTTCTTGTGGCACATGGTATTTATTAGTGGTAATTATAAAACAAAAATATTA